TTTTCTCCCTTTTGCTTTAAAAATAAATAGCGGTAGATTATTCTGAACCTCGTCCTGATCATGGCTATCGCTGAATACAACCTTCTCACACCCCCCCCCAAAAAACTAGGAACTTCCCAAGGTGGTCACGGATTAGAGACAATTGATCCACCTTCCCAAAGCTGTGGTACTGCACCACAACACCCATTATCCCCAGTTGTTGCTGTTTGGAATGATAATCCAACTGAGGTGGATGCACTGGATTGGGGAAGATGCGCTCGGCAATTCTGTCATCACGCTAGTGGCCCATAAGGATGTGTGTCCGATATCTGCCCCATAACAAGGGGACTCCACCATTTAGCTTTTAAAACTTCCCAGGGATCTGTGAAAGCGCATAAGTTAAGGCCGGTGCAGTCCAGGAACGGGATGGGTGACAGCTACCGACGTAAGATTTATTAGGAATCGGAACAAAATAAAACATTCAGCGATAGAAAAAGGGGGGGGGAATTAAGGGCCTAGCAGCTCAGGAAACCTAAATCAATTAATCATGTGAGTATTAGTTGAGGAATCAATTAATCTGTTGTAATTTGCAAAGGCGATGCAATTATTCAAAAGGGGGAAAACATACTCTTTCTTTTCGTTCCAGATTTATTTCAGCATACGCTTTCTCGTTAGACTCTTATTATATTTTTAATTTGCTTCTTTGACTGGTTGTAATTTTTTGTACGGTACGCTCATTACTTTTTCCAACCCCATCTATATCTGGGTGACAGAAAACACATTATGTGCTTTTGCTCAACTTGTGATGGGTTCCAGCCGTGTTCAAGTGGAACCTCTCACTGGTGAAAGACTGATTCCTTACACTGAACCATGTATCTAAACTCAGCTTCTCCAATCTGGCTGGTCTCTGCAGGTGGAACAGATAACGTCTTGGAGAAAGCTACCTGGGAGGGTGGGATCATGTCTTTCATCCAGTTGTTATTGATTTATCTGTATTCATATCACTTGTACAAATGACCTATGGCAACATTGTGAATTACCATATTTTTCCGTGTATAAGACTATACTTTTGTCTAAAATCTTTAGACTAAAAAATTGAGGGTCATCTTATACACGGAAGTAAGCTGAGGAGAGAACAAAAACAAGTGGTGGGGAAAGCAGGGATCAAAGCTATCCTGCAGCGCTTTGATCCCTTTCCCCCCAGCCCTTGCTAAGCTCTACTTAGATTTCAAAAGTGGGGGGGTCTTATACATGGGACGTCTTATACATGGAAAAATATGGTAATAATTAACCTGTAATGCGTTGGCTAATAATTCTACACAGAATTTATCCTTGGTACTCAATAGTCCTGTAATCTTAGAACTTCAGAGTCGGAAGGGACGCTATGGAGCCCAACTCCTCTCAAGGAGGCACCATAGGGAATCGAATGCCCAACCTCTGGCTGCAGACCACTGAGCTCTAGTTCTCAATGGATCACTTGTTGCGAAGCCAGAGGTTGGGAGTTTGCGTCCTCACTGTGCCTCATAAGAGAAGGGCCAGCCTAGGTAACCTTGGGAAAGTGGCACAGCCCCAGAGTTGCTGGAGAGCTCAGTGGTTTAGGTCTCTGGCTGCAAAGCCAGAGGTTGGGAGTTTGATTCCCCCACTGGGTCTCCTTGACAGGAGTTGGACTCCAGAGGGTCCCTTCCAGCTCAGCCGTTCTAAGATGAAGAAAAGAATGGCCAAGCTCTTCTGAGTACTCCATATTCAGACAACTTTGGAAAGAGTTGCCAAGCATCGTACTTGACTTGGCCGCAGATTATAATTATTCTTGCAGGTTAATACATGTGTGTCTACTAATCCAACAGATCATTCTCCTCTTTCTCAGAGTAGCATCTTTGTTTCCTCAACACCACTGAAGATGTAACTTTGGGGACAGGACACAATGTTGACCTTCCCAAAGTCCTTGCTCTCCAGCTTGTCTGGTTTTCTTAGGTCATCTAGCCTCAGGGAACAGAAGAAATAGTTGCTAAATTCCTTGCTCTTCTCAATGCAGGCTGTCTCGACAGAACAAAGAAGAAAATGAGCATCAAGATGAATTGCCTCCACTAAGTCAAGGAGCTTCTTTTCCTCTTCTGTGAGATGTTCAAGACATTGTGCAAAATGTCTCTAGCACACTTTGCCTTTTGAAAGCAAAGCACCAGACACACAGCAAGCACAGAAGGCTATGTGTCAAGAAGGATGCGAGCAACCTATCTGGTGCTTCAGATTGTTAAAAGCAGCAGATTGCCTAACCAGAGGCAATTTGTCTGTTGTGCCCACATTGCATGATTCTGTGCAATTTTGTGCAACATTTTTGAATTTTTAAACACAAACGTGAATTATCGCCAACACAAGAACAGCAATGAGAATGATAGGACATTCCTCATCATTTTCACCAGCAAGAAGAAGGTTTTTGGATCCTTCTACCTGCCTGTGAGGACAAGACAAGTGAGGATCTACTTTCCTAATAGCTTTGGCCTCAAGAGGGGAACAAACATGCTTTCTGAAGATTATGAGCTCATTGCCCCAGATGCAAACCCTCACCTCCTATTCCATAGGCAGATGATCACAGAGGAATACACTGAAAACCTTTCACACCTCTGACGGCTTTCCACTTTAATGGTTGATTTATTTTATTTTATTTTTCTGGGTGAAAAGGAGCAATTCCCTAGCAGAAGTTGGAGAAATGCCAAGAGCTCCCCCCCCCTTGTCTGTGACTTACTCGTGTGGATGCTGAATTCATATCTTCCTTTCCCCACCCTTTTAATGTCCGTGCGCTTCTATGCACCTACATAGCGTTGCTCTTCCCCCTGCACCCTGTGGCTTTCAGGAAAAGATCTATGCCTACCTCTTTTTGCAGATGAGAAAGAGGAGCAGGCTGACGAGGCCGCTGATGAGGGTGAGACAGATCCATATGACTGTAGTGGTATCGTATCGGGGAGCTACTGGAAGAGAAAGATTGCAGTGGGTTCTCAGTTGGGAGGTTCTGAAAT